CCTCAGCCTCCCAAAGTGCAGGATTCCAGGATGAGCCACTGAGCCCAGCTCAGAATTTTTTTTTTCTTTTAAAGATGCAAATCCTTGGCCCTCTTAGCCTGTAATCCCAGCACTTTGGGAGGCCGAAGCAAGTGGATTGACTAAGCCCGCGGGTTCGAGACCCACCCAGGCAACTTGGCGATACCTCATCTCTACAATAAATCAAAAAAATTGGCCGGTGTGGTAATGCGTGCCTGTAGTTCTGGCTACTTGGAAGACTGAGGTGAAGGATCACTGGAGCCCAGCAGGTCGAGGCTGTGGTGTACTCCAATCTGGGCAACAGTGTGAGACTCCAACTCAAAAAAAAAAAAGATACAAACACCAGGATAGGGAAAATGGGAGAAGAGATAATAGCAATTAATTTTTGGAAGCTGGAAAGCGGATAAAAGAGTGGTGAATGACTTAACAGACCTGAGAAAACAAGTTATAATTAACCAGCAGTGAGGAATGCCAGGAAACACTGAAGGTCTAAGAAACAGATCCCAAGATACCCTACCACACTGATATAGTTAGGCAACTCCCCCTCCAACTCTGGCAAAGACTGGAGGTCTGGCAAGGAACTCAGGAGCAGTTGAGGGCTGAGGTACTGTACTAAAAAAGGAGCATGCAGTGAACTATACTGGAGATACTGAGCCTCCAGCCCTCTTCCCCCATTCAGCCTCCAGAATGCTGGCATAAAGACTTCACTCTCCAGGCATGAAATTGAATAATCCTCTCCAGAATCCTCTTTGGTATATTTTTAGTATACCAAGTTTTGAATGTTCTCTATCTAAATGGCCCACAGTCAACAAGGCTCACTTACACACTTAGAGCTTCCAATCAGCTTTAAAGCCTCTAACTCTTAAGATATGATTTGAATTCTCCTTTAAACTAAGGATTACCAAACATCTAAAGAAAGCCTCTGTCAAAAAAAAAAAAAGTGAGCCGGGCTCAGCCTATAATCCCGCGCTTTGGGAGGCTGAGGTGAGTGGATTGCCTGAGCCCGCGAGTTCGAGACCCACCTGGGCAACTTGGCGAGACCTCATCTCTACAATAAACCAAAAAAAATTAGCTGGGTGTGTTAGCGCACACCTGTAGATCCAGCTACTTGGAAGGCGAGG